GCCCAGTGGCCATTCCTCACAGGCCACAGGCCATGACTTTATAGTATTTAGAGCTAAATCTCAGGAAGCTCAGGCGGATGTGCAGCTAAGGAGGTTTGCACTCCTCACCCTTCCTAGAGTCTGCTGGCTGTAAGCAAGCGAAGATAATGGTTGAGAGCTGGCTCTAAAGCCAGACGGCCTGGGTTCAAATCCCAGGGGCACCACACCAGCTGTGTAATTTGGGACCAGTCACTTACTCTCTCGTGCCTCAGTTTTTCATCTGTAAGATGGAGGTAATAGTACTGACCTCAATGAATTGTTAGGAGGATGGGATAAAGTTGGCGTAACGATGCCAGACACATAGAAATTGCTAGTTAAATATTAGCTATTATTATTTAAAAGGGAGGTTATAAACTCACCCATATAGCCATAACTTATCACAGATATTCCAACTCAATTGGTGGGAATTAAGTTAACAGGAAAGGGAGAAGTTTTTCCTGAGATGTCATCTCAAGCTTTGTGTCAGAACCCTCTAGGATTACTAGGATTATAACCTGCCCATAAGCAGGGGGGACAGTGAGAAATAGAGAAAGCATCTAATTGAGGGGTGGGAGTGGGAGACGGTGGGATAAGTCAGGGAAGGCTTTCTGGCAGGATGAGGCCTGAGCTGAGTCCTGAGGTGGGAATGGGGCGATCATGGGACAGAGTGTGTGAGGGCAGTGGGAATGCAGGTGGTGGTTCTTTTTCATGCTGAAGGCCCAGGCAAGGGCCTGCCGGTGGGACAGATGTGGAGGGTACAGGGAACTGGGCGTGCTTGTATGGAGATTATGCTTGTATGGGAAGAGATGAGATGGGGGAGAGAGCTGGCTGCTGAGGCTGAAGAAGTCTGCAGGGCTGGTCATTCAGAAAGGGCTCTGTGCATCTGTCTAGAGTGATGGGGCACTGGAGACCCTTAAAGGGTGTTAAGCGGGGGACAGACAAAACCAGTGCTGCATTGTGAACGGCCACTTGCAGTAGTCCACATGGAGAATGCAGTGAGGGAGAAGAGTCCAGGGGCAGGGAGACCAGGGAGGGGCTGGTGCAGGAACGAAGATGAGAAATGTGGGGCTTCTGGTCCCGGGGCAAAGGAAGGGGTGGCTCTGAGGGATATGCAGGTGGTACACTGGTCGGGTGACGGGGTGGGGCCAGGGACAGTGAAGACAGAATGGCTTGGAGACGCCTTCGAGTCTGTACCCTCACCAAGGGTAGCCTCCATGTGAACATACAACAGTGTTTTCATCCACTATACTGTTCATTGAAACTTGGGTGGTTCCTGATTTTTTGGCTATTTTGACTAGCGTTTTGAAAATGTTTGTACGCGTCTTTTCTTGAACATACGTGTGTGTGTATAAGTACGTGGGGGTACAGTTAGGAGTAAACTGCTGGGTAACGTGGTATGCACATGTTAACCTTCAGGAGATAGCACTAGGCATTTTCTGGAGGGGTTGTACGAATGTCCTGTCACATTAGCAGCGTAAGGAAGTTCTGGTTGCTCTTGTGACACCAGGGCTTTTCCATTCCAGGGCACTGCCACTCTGGGGGGTGTGCAGTGGCTTCGCACTGAGGTTTTAGTTTGCAGTTCCTGGGCTACCGAAGATGCTGAGCATTGCTTCACTTGACCGGTGGCTGTTTAGGTAGCGTCTTTGGTGAAGCGTCTTTTTCAATCTTTTACCCATTATTCTATTGAATACCTTCTTTTGGTTCATTTGTAGTCCTTTATTGATTCTGGATGCAAGTCTTTTAAATTCTTCATTTTAATGCAATCTGGCTATTATTTTTTTCTCTGCGGTTAGTGCCTTTTGTGTCCTGTTTAAGAAATCTCTGTCTACTCCAAGGTACTCTGCATTTAATTAAAAAAATTTTTATTGTTTTACCTTTACCATTTAAATCTACAATACACTTGAAATTGTTTTTGTGTATCAGGTGAGGTAGGATTAAAAATTTTTTTTTTTCCTGTGTAGATTTCCACATGATCCAGCAGAATTTATTGAAAAGACCACCCTCTCCCCATTGCATTATAGAATCAACTTTGTCATAAACCAGGAGACTGTACCTTCATGGGTCTATTCTGGGCTTTGTTTTGTTCAATTAATCTATTTGTTTATTCTTGTCCAATTGCATACTTGCTTAATTATTATAGCTTTATAATAAGTCTTAATTTCTGGTAAGTCTTCCATATAAGTTTTATAACCAGGTTATCAATTTCTGTAGGAAAACAACTGCTGGGGTTTTCACTGGGATTGCACTGAACCTAGAAATCAATTTTACCTCTTTATATGTTGAATTGTCCAAACTATAACATGGAATATCCTCCACTTACTTAGGTCTTCCTTAATTTCTCTAAATAATGTTTTGTTACACATATTTTATTAGATTTGCTACTACATATTTGATTTTTTAAATGTTCTTATAAATTATTTTCTAGTTGCTGGTACAGAGCAATCCATTGGATTTTTGTATATTTATTTCCGTTTGTCTTTAATTTCTTTTAGATTTGCTACCTATACATCATGTAGTCTGCAGATAATGACAGGTTTATTTCTTCCTTTCCAGTCCTTTGGCTTTTTATTTGATTCTCTTGACTTATTTTACTGGATTCCATTTCCTCCCTTAATTCTATTAATAAGATGAATTACATTGTTAGCTTACCAAATGCAAACCAACTTCGAATTCTTATAATAAATATAATGTGATTGTGATGTGTTATCCTTTTTATGTTGCTAAATTCAATTTGCTAATATATTGTTTAGGAGTTTTGCAACAATACTTTTGAGAGAGATTGGTTCATAAGTTTTCCTTCTTGTAATGTCTTTGTTATTTTTTTGGTATTGATTTTTATGCTGGTCTCATAAAATGAACTTGAAAGCAACTAATTTTTTTTCTACGCTTTGGAAAAGTTTGTTATGATTGGTATGATTCCCTTAAATGTCGAAAGAATTCACCAGTAAAGCTATCTGGCCTGGAGTTTTCGTTCTAGGAAAGTTTTAAATTATAGATTCAATTTTTTGGAAAGACAGTAGACTTTTTTTTCACTTTTATTTCTTCTTGTGCCAGTTTTGGTAATTTGTGTTTTTTAAGACTTTTTTCGTCCATTTCATTTAATGTCAAGTTTATTGGTATATAGTTGCTTGTAATTTTTAAAATGATCTTTTAAATGACTGTAAGATCTATAGTAATGTTCCCTTTTTCATTCCTGATGTTGATAATTTGTGTTTTATTTCTCTTTCTTTATCAGTCTTGCTAAGGATTACATATTAATTATTTCAAAGAATAAATTTTTGGCTTTGTTGATTTTTCTCCACTATAAATTTGTGTGCCATTTCATTATTTTCCACTCTTATCTTTATTATTTCATTCTTTCAACTTCCTTTTGGATTTGATTTGCAGTTCCTTTTCTAGCTTCTTGAGATAGGAGGCTAGCTAATTAATTTTTAGCCTTTCTTCTTTTCTAATATGCATTTCCGTCATGAAAGAAGGAAATAAATTCCCCCCAAGCAATGATAATGTTTTATTTTCATCATTATTTACTTCAAACTATATTAATTTCCATTTTTCTTTTTCTTTATCCAATACATTATTTAGCAGTGTATGCTAATTTCAAAGGAGCTGGGCACTTCCCCATTATGTTTATTTTGAAATTGATTTCTAGCCAATTTTATGGTAACCAGAGAATATAGTTTAAATGATTTCCATTTTTTGGATTTTTTTTTAACTTACATTTATGATGCAGCATCTGATTGATTTTGACAAATGTTTTATGAAGCTACAACTTGATTCTTTTAGCTAGTATTTACATGGCATATTTCTTCCATTCTTTCTTCTTAGTGTGTCTATGTCTTTCTATGAAGGAGTGTTTCTTTTCCTCCCAGCTTGACTGAGATGCAACTGAGACAGCATTGTGTCAGTTTAAGGTGTACATGTTGATTTGGTATATTTATATATTGCAAAGCGATTAAGGTGTATTTCTTGTAAGTAATATGTAAGGTTTTTTAAAGCATCTTGAAAATATGCATTTTATTAAAATATTTAGTCCATTTGCATTTAAAGTAGTTATCTACATACTAAAGTTCATATATACCATCTTTCCACTTAATTTCTTTTTCTTTTTTCTGAAGTTGCTTTATTTGTTAAATGGAAATACCTGTATGTTACCTACATGGCCAACAGCTAGAAAATTTATATTCTTTAAGATACAAATTACAATTACATATCATGCTTTGGCATTGACTATGTCAGATTTTAAATTTAGGATTTTGGAGCCGTAGTTCTACAATCATCCAGGACCCAGCCAGGCTCCTTCTATCTGCAGCCTTGAACATCCAGCTTCATCTAACGGTTCATGATGGCTGCTCGAGTTCTCAGGCGTTGTATGGTTCAACTCTTACTCTGCCCTGTAAATTTATGTCTCTTTTTGACCGACTTGTTTTATGTTTGAAGTAATTTCCTTCTGCTATCACATCATAGTGTCCCTCTAGCACCCTCTATTGACAAAGCCTTACATTGTCAACTGGCAAAGGAGAAATGATTATAGGGTGACATGTAAAACATCCAGACAAAGGGTCTCTAAGGCAGACAGGAACTCAACCTCTAAGAATTTGGGGGCTGGAACTGATGTGATGTAAACTGATTGTTAGGCATGTGAGGGGCCAGTTTGTCCACTGTGGGATGTAAAGTAAGACCGGGGAGATTGCATATGAGCAGTTTTACTGTTATTTATTGTTTTAAGGTATTGTGTTAGATGTTTCATCTACAGTGCCTCTACTCATAAAAACCCTGAGAGATTAGTATTAATATTAGTATTAGTCACATTTTACAGATGAGGAGACTGAGACTCAGAGAGGTTAAGTAACTTGCTCAAGACAGCAGAGTAGTGGGGCCAGAATTTAAATCCTAGTCTACCTGCCCCCAGGGCAGATACTTTTATTAGACTACCATACTTTAGAAGGCAGTTAAATGAGTGTGATTCTCTTATAGACCCCACCATGTGGATGTCTCCAGTGAAGAACCAAAGTTGGGTTTCTGAATTTATCCTGCTTGGCTTCTCCAGCGACCCCACGTCCAACAGGATCCTCTTCGTTGCCTTCCTTCTCCTCTACCTGTGCTCAGTCCTGGGCAATGGGCTCATTGTCACCCTGATCTGCCTGGACCCGCACCTTCACACTCCCATGTACTTCTTCCTCTGTATCCTCTCTCTGCTGGACATGAGCTACGTCACCACCACCATGCCCCAGATGCTGGTGCATCTTCTCGCTCATTCTCAGACCATTTCCTTTGCTGGCTGTTGGCTACAGATGTACATGTTCAGTGTCCTGGGCCTGGCCGAGTCTATTTTATTCGTAGTCATGGCTTATGACCGATACGTAGCCATCTGCTCGCCGCTGCGTTATACTGTGATCCTCAGCTGGAGCCTGTGCCGGCGGCTGGCAGCTGGGGCCTGGGCCTGCGGCTTCTTCTTCTCTCTGATCCATACTTTCTTCACCATGCGGCTGCCGTACTGTGGGCCCAACGTGGTCAACCACTACTTCTGTGAAGGCCCCGCAGTACGAAGCTTGGCTTGCATGGATACCCACCTCATTGAGATTGTGGACCTGGTTATCAGTGTGCTCATGGTTGCTGCCCCACTTTCCCTCATTTTGGCCTCCTACATCCGTATTGCCCGGGCCATTGTCAAGATCAAGTCCTTAAAGGGCCGCTGCAAGGCCTTCTCCACCTGTGCTTCCCACCTGACTGTGGTCTCACTCTTCTATGCTCCAGCCACCTACATCTACATGAGGCCCAACTCCAGCTATTCCCCTGAGCAAGACAAGCAGGTCTCACTCTTTTATAATGTCTTCACTGCCCTGCTCAACCCTGTGGTCTACAGTCTGAGGAACAAGGACATCAAAGGGGCTTTTCTCAAAGTGATGGGGCGGTGTAGGGTAGCCTGGTGAACTGGGAATCAGGAGAGTCCTGAGGTACAATATCCATTGACGATGAAAGAGACAACATCTATAATGTGTGTAACCAACATTGTGCATTTGAGCCAACATAGTACTTGGTCAGTGGAACAAATGTGGGATATGAAATTAACATGGATATTTTGATTAACTGGCTGCCTTGTGGCACAGTGACAGCTCCATAATCTCATTGGCTTACAAAAGCTGATTTACTGTTCATGTTTTATGTCAGTTGTAGGTGAATGAGAGCCTTCTTCCATTGAATTCTTGGATCCATCCTGAAGGAGGAAGCCCTTTGTGGAACATGGCATTCTTATGACAGAGAGAAGGGAACACAGGCTGAAGTACACAATGACTCTTAAAGCGTCAGCTCAGAAGTGAAACACATCCCTTGGCTCGCATCCTATTAGCCAAAGCAAGTTAAATGGTCAAGCCTGGTGGCAAAAGGGCAGGAAGCATTTTCTTCTCCCAGAAAAGTAATGTCAGTCATTTGCCAGTGGGTATGGATGTATAACCCTCCTCAGTGAGAGCAGCAAATAACGGAGATAATACTATAATTCACTATAATGGCACTGGAACCAATAGATACATGTATAACCAACATGAAACATGGGAACTGTGAGTGACTTGGTATATGGACACAGTAGAGAGTCAAAGTAATGTAGGTAATCAGAGTGACATGTAAACAATAGATATCTGTAGACATTGAAAATAAAGCCAATGGTATATGGAACCAACGCAGCGCACAGACCTGACTTAGTGCATGGAGCCAATGTGGTTCATGGGGCTAACACGGTATACTCTGTATTGTGTTGTGGAAGGACACAGAACTTAACATTAGGTGACCAGGGTTCTAGTTTCAAGCTTGCTAACTTGTTTTGTGACTTTGGACTATTTGTCATGTGCAACAACATAATGGACCTAGAGGGTACTGTGCTGAGTGAAATAAGTCAGACAGAGAAAGACAAATGTCCTATGATTTCACTTGAATGTGCAATCTACAGAACAAAATAAATGAACAAGCAGAACAGAAACAGGCTCACAGATACAGAGAACATTTTTAACATTTGCCAGATGGGAGTTGGGGAGATATGTGAAAAAGGTAAAGGTAATTAAGAAGCACAAGTTGATAGTTACAAAATAGTCATGGAGATGTAAAATACAGCATAAGGAATATAGTCAATGATTACTGTAGTAACTATGTAAGGTGTCAAGTGAGTACTAGATTTATTGGGGTGATCACTTCATAAGATGTCTAATTACTGAGTTGTACACCTAAAATTAATATAACATTGTATGTCAACTGTAATTGAAAAATAAAAAAAATATTAAAAAAATATTAAAGACAAAGAGAAGNCTAAAATTAATATAACATTGTATGTCAACTGTAATTGAAAAATAAAAAAATATTAAAAAAATATTAAAGACAAAGAGAAGAAAAAAAAAGAATCACCCTTTTGAAAAGCTGCAAGGGATGTGGTGTTCCAGGGAGAATTCCAGATTGAAGTTGTTGAGAAGGGCAGCTGCTGATTATGGTGCTGAAGTTGAGATGACAAAGAGGGAGAACTGGGGAAAGAATTGGGAACTCTATGCTTATAATATACATTTGTTTATTTGTACATAATCATTCTCTCCTTATTTCTTATCACTATTTTAAAATTATTTAACACACGTGTTACTGGAATTAACACAATAATGTTGTTGCTAGATAACAGAATATTCAGTGAGACTGGNAATCATTCTCTCCTTATTTCTTATCACTATTTTAAAATTATTTAACACACATGTTACTGGAAGTTAACACAATAATGTTGTTGCTAGATAACAGAATATTCAGTGAGACTGTCACTGAATTTGAGGAGTAATTAATACACTCTATGATCTTCACTTGTAAGGAGAGATGTGTCTTACTAGGTAGAAATATAGAGTTGTTTTGTTTGCTGTAAGGGAGTTTGAATGTTGATAGAAGGTTGCACATGGAAGCTGAGTAGCCAAAAGGCTGGACTGTATCTGTTACTCATTTATTACCTCAGTTCTAAAGGCAGCTTTCAATATATGCTCTGTAATAAATGACACAAGTGCCTTAAGTATTTCTTTTTTTAAAGTGAACATGAAGTTAAACTTTCTCAGTGGGCACTGGAGGAACAGTGCAGCATGAATGAGATTTTCTGCTTTTCCAGCCTGGGCCACAGGCAGCCCATAATGCACAGTGACCTCGCAACTTCAGTCTGGCTGCCCTTTCATCATGGAAACCACAGCGCCCCACAGCCTGACACCCTCAGCATGCAGCCACCTGGTGGACTCCTTCAGTAAGCCCCACAAGTGTGCATGTAGCATCTGTAGTCTTCAGGGTCACAGAATGAGCTGTGCTATCTACAAGCCCACACACTATGGAGGCTTTCTGTCCCCATTGGCACCAGCATCTAACTGTATGTCCACACCACTGTTTGCTACTTGCCCTCTCCCTTACCTACACTCTGGAAGGTGACTTATAGTTTGCAACTCCAGACCAACTCTGGCGTGGCTAAACCAGTGAACTCTTCTGCAGTTCAGCACATGAACCACACCTTCTCCAATGAGGTCTGAACTCCTCCCAAGTCTGTCCCAACTTGGGTACTGTCCCTTGGTCCTTGGGTATTCCTTAGAGTTTCCTTACATCTGATAGTCACTCTCTTATATTATTTTTCAATTACAGTTGACATACAGTGTTATATTAGTTTCAAGTGTACAACTCAATAATTAGACATCTATATAACTTATGAAGTGATAGTTACTCTCTTAACACTTATTTATAAAATGACATCCTATAAAATGTGTTGATAAATATGATCTCATCAGATTATCATTACAACCTTTGAGGTATCAGTATTTTCACTTTGTAAAATCAGCCATCCAAGGTCAGTTAGAGAGTAAGTGATAGTCAGGACTCAAACTCCAAGTCCCAGCTTCTTACCACCACATTAAGCTGAAATGTGTCTCTCACAGCATCAAATTTCATGAAGGTTTTAACAGGTTACCAAGCACAAAATAGGTGCTCTTTAGGTGACATTGTGAGAGAAAACTAACCTGTGTACTAACACTTTTAGAGGGCAGAAAATGCATATTGTGCAGCATTGAAAATTGACAGGGTTGGTTTTTTTTGGTAGAGAATCCCAAAATCTTGGATCAGAATTTCAATATCTGAGATAGTGCACTGATCATGAAAAGACAAATAGCTATCTATTTGGGTTAAAATTATGCCACATAAAGCCATGGACAAGACTCAGTCTCAAATGGATGAGAAAAATGATATTATTACATTATTACTCATGTTATAGGCAGTATGCAATACTATTGGAGTTAGAAGGATCTGAATTTGGGTACAACCTAGGCTATAAATACTAGTATATGCTGATAAATCTGAAATATATCTCCATCCTGGATCTCTTAATTCATCTATTCAACTGCCCACTTGACACCTGTCTTCAAGTGCATATCTAATAAGAATATTAAAATTAACAGTTTATGAAAGCCAATTTCCAATCCTCTATAAACCTGCTCCTCTCACAGTCTTCCTCAACTCAGTTAATGGCAATGCCATCTTTTGATGTGGCTGAGGTTGAAAAAAGAACCTCAACGTCTTCCTAGCTTTTCTTTCTCCCACATCCCACATGCAGACACTGTCAGTTTCCTTTAAAAGATATATCCCCAAGATGATCACTTCTCATCTATGCCGTTGTTACCTGGTCCAAATCATTGTCTTCTCTTACCTGGAATATTGCAATAACTAGTGTCACGGCTTCCATTCTCTTCCTCTATAGTTTATTCTATTTTTTTTTAACCCTCACTGAAGGATAAGTTTATTGATTTTAGAGAGAGAGGAAGGGAAAGAGAGAGAGAGAGAAACATCGATGTGAGAGAAAAACACCAATCAGTTGCCTCCCATATCTGCCCCAATGGGGGATCAAACTCACAACCTAGGTGTGTACCCTGACTGGGAGTCAAACCCGCAACCTTTTGGTGTACAGGATGACATTCCAACCAACTGAGCCACCCACCAGGGCCTCCAAAGCCTGTTCTGAGCACAGTAATTAGAATGATCCTATCATGATGTAAACACTATGTAAATCTCCCTATCAAAACAATCCGGTGGCTTCTTGCAGTGCTCAGAAGAAAAGCCGNGTAAACACTATGTAAATCTCCCTATCAAAACAATCCAGTGGCTTCTTGTAGTGCTCAGAAGAAAAGCCAAAGTCCTGATGAGGGCTCTGAAGTCCCTCGTCACCTCCCTGGCCTTATATCTTACTTCTCACTTCTCACTCCAGCCATACAGCTGTTTGCTGCTTCTCACCCTAACTCAGAATCTTTTGACTTACTGTTCCCACTTCTAGAAAGCCTCTTTCCCCAGATATATTTATGGTTTACACCCTCACCTCCTTCAAGTATCTGCTCAAATGTCATTTTCTCAGGGAAGAATTAAGTCTTTCCTGACCATCCTGTTTAACACTGAAATATCTCACATTCCATATCACTGTCTCCTGTTTTATCTTTCTTTGTGATAGTTAGCATCTTCTAATGTACTACATAATTTTTCCAATTATCGTTCACAAGAATGCAGAAATTTTCATCTTTTTTTGTTCATTGTATATCACTAGATTCTAGAACAGGGCCTGGCATATGGTGGACATTATACATGTTGGGTAAATGAACTGAATCCAGAGCTGTGGCCCTGAGGGATGAGCGACTGGTGTTACATATGGTGGAACTGTCCGTGGTGCTGAACTTTGTTTCCCATGGAGTTAACCATTTCGCTGACTTGTTGAGAGCTTTCCCTTGGATTTACATAGCTCTCAAGATTTCTAAACAGAGAGCGATCCAGATCATTTACATTAACCATAACCATCCTTTAATGCTGCAAAAAATTAATACCTACTATTAACTGCATATTACAACCGAGAAAACTGATATTTATCAAAGTTAAGCAAGAGCCCAAGAGCTACCCAGAGCACTGTTTT